CGGTCTCATTTAAAGATATATCTAACTCAGAAGACTCGTTATTCAGGTAAAACAAACATTATTCCTATCCAGCATCTTTTCACTTCCATATTCTTTTGTATTGAAGTATTGAAGCCTGATTAAGTCAGGTCTTTATAGTACTGAAGCCTGATTAAGTCAGGTTTTTATAGTACTGAAGCCTGATTAAGTCAGGTTTTTATAGTACTGAAGCCTGATTAAGTCAGGTCTTTATAGTATTGAAGCCTGATTAAGTCAGGTCTTTATCTCCCAGCCATAATCATTGTGGTTTGCTATGTTTTGAGAATTTTCTCATTTCAAACCTAAATCACCTACTTCATCAAAATTGTTGGTCAGAATTGATTCACTATACCGTTATTTTCATTCATTTCTGAAATATTTGATTGTGTGTGATTGTGTCTGTTCCACTGATATCACAAGATTAAATAACTAATTTTCATAATAACTAGAGCCAGCTTATAGTAATGTACTGTCAATTCCATCTCTCTTTGGATGATAAGCGTTGTGCTACATGTTAATACTGGAATTGCTCAATGGTTAGGGTAACATCAAATGGTTATTATCATATTGTGTGTTTACTTACCTCTTGTCCCACACTTGTAGCAAATCTTGCATTGCAAACACAGCGGCCTTTCAAATCTGTTTGAAAATAAAAGAATATTTGTTCAGAAGTTTTTGTACAACTCTGAACTCAATTGACACCTAATTTACATAATTTGTAGCTTTTCCACGGACATCTTAAGTAGAAACTACTCAACAGATTTCAATGAAACTTTGTTCATAGGTATATGATTAATTTAGTGAAAAAATTTATTCATATTAATAATCTTAGACTAAGTTATAACATTACTAGTTCGTTTTTCTATGTTTTCAAATTCAAAGAGCAAAGCCATATTAGCAAACAAGTTATTTTGTTTCATGGACTTGTATTTCATTTTTATTTTCCTTACCAGTACCCTCAACACACCCTCAATATATAATGATCATTCTCTGTTTTTTACCTAGTTTTCTAAGTTCAACAAATGATCTTGGTATCGTCATAGTAACTGATGTGCCATCAGAGTCAAAGTCTGTTTCCAAGGTAACCCTAATATATACCTCAATATTTAGCTCCCATGTGTACTTTCCTGTCGCTCATTTATGGCTCGCATTTTTGATTGCTTGCTTGCTTGCTTGCTAGTTTGAACACAGTCTTAAAACATGGACTTATGAATTGACGTCTGTGTCCAATTGTTCGTTTGTGTGTGTGTTCATGGTAACCTGTACATATTTCGGCTGATCACATCATATATCTAGGGATCCATATCACATTCATTCAAGATGGCCAAATGGCTGCAATTTTTATGCCTAATATTCATCAAAATCAAGCATTTCACTTTTGTATAAAGCCAGGTCTTGGTCGTGTATGATGGTTTTTGTTGGAACCTGGTACATACATTGGACACAGTAAGACCTTGATGCACATCATTTTGTTTTTCAGATCAGTTTCAAAGTGACCGTTTGGCAAACATTTTTAACAAATACTATTCTGGAGCCATATCTCTGACATACGTGATTTTAACGCAATAGTTTTGCTGGCTTCACGATTTTGTTACAAACTGTCTTTTAAATATGCATTGTGTATGAACTATGGTGCTAGGAGCCTAGTAGGATCATGGAAACTTGTTATTGGGATAGAATATTATTTTACAAGAAACTGTTATTTTAGAAAAACTCATTATTCATATATTCGCATTATGGGAATGTTAAGCAATAATTAAATCAAAGTCATGGAACATGGGAGAACAACACCGTCCTCTCTCCTGTCCCTCTACCTTCCATGCTGTGACCAGATATTTAATATGCAAACTTACATGTACTAGTAAACAGACAATTTTTAAATACAAAAGGCAATTAGAAAAATAATGGTAGGAAAACATATATTTGGCTTCACTGAGCTATTTTATGATAGATGTTGGCGTCCTTGTCAACCTTTTACTTTTTTGACTTCTCCTTGAAAACTACAATTAGTCTGAATTGTTTAATACTTGGTGTATATGCACCTTTGGTAGACTTCTCAGAGACTGCTTGTTTTAATAAAAGTTTAAGAATAATTGATGATTCACTTGTAGATTTTAATCCATGATGTAATTTTGTTGACAGATAGCTGAACTGATAGCTCCAATACAGAATACCATATATAGCATGGTATGTATTCATTCACTGCTGTACTGTTTTAGTGTACTAGTGTTTTTGACTCTCATTTCTTTAGCACACAATGGGAGTTTTTGTGTTAACGCTGTCTGTGTGTACTATATGCTTTGATGACTCAAATACAGATGTGTACCATTTTTTGAGGACATACGCAACTACAAAGGAAGTTTTTTATAGTCTTTGGAAAACATACTTTATATTAAATTTGCATAGTTTAGGATTAGTAAAAGGATAATGTACAGTGTAGTTTATATAATAACTGTACCATACCTCTACCCCCTTTACTAACCCTAAACATTTTTATGTTAAGTCTCATGATGTTGTTTCTACTTTGTTGCATTTTTATTTAATTAAACGCAATTAAATCACAACCCTGTATAGAGTTGTGTTTTAATCCAACATCCATGTAACATAATAATTAATGATTGTACAATGTGATATATTGCTTTGATGCAGACAAATATGAGGTGCCAAGCTTCTTGTTTGGAAGGCTAATTAATATTTTATATGTCAATATGGGAGTTCATTGTAAGCTTGCTTTGATTTTTAATTCAATGCCCCCTGGGTTTCTTGTGGTCAACTCTTTAGCTATAATTCTGGGTCTTATGTATTGTATGCCTCACCTTACACACCAATAGATGTAAAACGTCTACTCCAAATTTCAGCCAGTGACATCGTATGTGAGACAAACTTGAATACTGTTTAGGGCTTCGAGAAGAAAACACGGTTTAAAGTAGATATAAGGTGGATTATCTCCATTATGATATTAATAATTTGGTATGGAAGGTGATTAGTGGTATTTCCACAAGTTGCAACCAGTGATGGTTCATTGTCTAATAGTGGAACTTTGCTGTCAAATAGTGGAACTTTGCCGTCAAATTGTGGAACTTTGCCGTCAAATTGTGGAACTTTGTCGTCAAATTGTGGAACTTTGCTGTCAAATTGTAAAAGCTTTGTTGTCAAATTGTGGAACTTTGCCGTTACTATCAAGTATACATATGTTGTGTTTTAATATTATACTGTATGTTTTAATGTCTGTAATTGGGATTTTTCTTCTGTTAGTTGTCTGAATAAAAAAAATAATGACTGTAAAATCAAAGACTAGTCCATAGTGTTATGGATAAGAATTTACAGTAATTTAGAAAACAGTACTATGTTCTTCTGAAATATTGGTACTTATTTTGGATTTGTAGATATCCATATGTTTTAAAACATAGAAATAAGAACATACTCAAACGATATACAAAATTCTAAATTCATCAAATGGGTTTTCCAATCTCACAAACAAATAATTAATATCAAATAATGAAGTCCAAACTAAGTACAATTAAAGTATACACAAATTATTCTTATTTTTTAACAATTGCTATCTAATAGCAGTTGGATGGAAAGTCCAATGTAAGTATAATTGGATAGTAATTTTCAACTAGATTCAACCAACAGTACTGGTATTAGGTATACTCAAAATATATGTCATTCACTAAGTATACTTTGAGTATAAAATAATTATACTTAAATTATACTTCC